GCGAAATAAACTATCAAAAAGTTACTGAAAACTGTTATTTCCATTTCAAACAGCGTCTTGATACATTTACTCGTACTCTTTCCATCTCACCAATGTGTCTTCTTCTTTGACGATTATATTTTCTTTTTTGTCAATATTTAATAATATGATAATACTTAATGTTGATATTTTTTTGAAATTCCTTATTTCAACGCATTTATTGGTATTCATGGTCATGATTTCCTTCCGAAATTTGGAAATCCTCTTCTTATTTTTATTCTTCTCTTCTGGAATACACTTGGTGTTTAGAGTATAAGTTGTTTCTTGACGATTTTCTTTTAAGTTTATGTTTTATTTTACGTATCAACCTGTTCGACGGGGAGAAGGTTATTAGGATCATTTTTTAATATATGTACCTTGACTGGTTTTCGGTTAACTGTAATTGTATTTATTTCGGTGAAGACTTCCTAGTATTAGGTACGCTTGATAGATTAAAAGGTAAATTTGTCATACGTAGCTTGTTTTTAACGTAAAATTCTATAAAATAATATCTTTCATTTTATTGTCTATAGGCCAAAGTTCAGAGTCACTTTATGCGATAAATAGAAGGAAACTCAAGCGGCTATACGGACCCACAGGAACCCTATGTAGTCTCTATAGTCTTTAGACTTATATTGGAATGCCGAGAACTATCAGAACATAACAGTGTCACGGCTACAGTAAATACAAAGAAACAAAAAAGCTAATGAACTTGCTAGCAGCCAGCCAGCCAGCTACAAAATACTTCAGTCCAGAATGGGCAATTGGAGTGCCAAAAAGCATTGCCTGCGACCGGAAAATATCCTGAATTCGCACACAATAAAACTCTCAGTTCATTTCACACAACATAATGAGATCTTATATAATTTTAAATGCGAAATCCAGTGGGGGCTAACTGTTTTCACTGATGCCCATGATTACGATGCCCAACTGATTTAGACAATCTTCTCAATTTTTGTCGTTTTGTCTCAATGATAACATTCGTTATACCGGCGTTTAACAGTGGAAAGCCATAGGACCTAATCCCCAAAACTATGTTGATTGATGCACTCCTATCTTAATATTTCAAAATTTTTTAACTGCACCGGTTAAATGTGGTTTGGGAATGGTTGAGCGTGTTACAGCATAATTTAGACCTTTTAAGAGCATCAGGATCTCTGTTGCGTTCTGCCTTTTTGATAGATTGACAACTGTTCTATCTATGTACCATCCAATTCATACGAACACGAATCATACTCAAATACTAAAACTTTAAGCCTTGGTAACAGTGTTGCTAAGGATCAAGCATTGAAAATAGTAATCATAACGTAGGTGATGCTGATGAAGTTAGCTTTAGTAGACATAATATAATGAAAAATAAAACAATTTTTTTTTGAAAACCCTAATAACTTAGCTTCTGATGATAATGAGGGTCAGACTGTATTTAACCAGGCTACAGTCAAGGTGTAAGCAAATATAAATAGATAAATAGGTTGTCATATTTAAACAATGTTGAAGAAAGTGTTACTTCTGTTTTAAATAAAAAAAAAACACTCTCCCAAGAGTAGTCCAAAAAAGGGCAGGAAATGAAAGCATGTCAACCAAAACAGAGAAATATGGAAAAAACTTCGTGTATAAAACAAATATTGTTTTACATAAAAGAATAAGCTAAAAAAATATAAAGAATTTCTAAACGAATTGAGTACATTTTATAGTGATTAATCAGATGATGCCCATCGCGCATTACTATGTTTATAGAAATCGCGATAAAAATATGTTCAAGAAATCGCGATAAAAAAAAGAGTAAAAGCATCAACCACTAGAAAATTGAGTAGAGTACATAAATTATGTGGAAAAACTGTTTTCAAATGATTCTCTTTACAATCGCTAAGAATATCATAAGGAGTTCGTGACTGTCGGGGCCAACGTGGTGGTAAAAATAAAACTGATCTCATTTTACTTTAGAAAGTTATTGATCACATTCATAAATTTCCTAAATACGCATTATAGATCGTCAATCACAGAAGCAGAATTCTCTACAGAAATAACAACTGCTCAATTCAACAGTGAATTTTTCTTTATATAAACCAATTTTTTTGACAAAATTCAATCTTCGCAGGAAAAAACTTAAGAGGCTTGTAATGTGAAATAAAATAGTAGAAGTAAAATAAAACGTTGTGTTGATAATGGTAAATTACTGACTTTGAGAAAAGAAAAATATTTGCATTTTGAAACAGTATGAAAGAAGATATGCTTGCAGCCAAGAATCACTTACTACAAAGACATTTTGTTTTGATTTAGAAAAAACTCTAACTTTTCCTAGAATCCCGACTAATATATATTGTGAAAGGCAATAATGTGTGTATAACTTATGTATACACAGTCGAAAACAAACAAAGGCCATTGCTATGTTGAATTGAAGGGGCAGCAGATCGAGGTACTCACGAAGTTGGAAGCTGCCTTAGAAACCACTATAAAGAAAACGTGACTTAAAAAAATAATTCTGTGGTCTGACTCGCGTGGCGGCCAAAACCGTAACATCAAGATTGTATTAATAATGAAAACAGTTTTGGAAAGTCACCCTACTTTTAAACAATGTATATTGAGGTATCTTCTCCCAGAACACAGCTTTTTACCTAAGACTCATATTTTGGACATATCGAATCTGTACCCAAACTGCAACAACGGTTGTACATAGTAATAAATTACATTTCAATTATGAAAGGATATCGTAAAAAATCCTTTAGTTGTGCACAGAATGACAAATCAACAATTGGTGGAAAGACAAATATTGAAAAAACAAATTACCAATCGTAAAATTGTTTTTCTGTTTTTTTGAATCTCCATATTTACAACTTCTATTCTGCATTTTTTTCGTGTTACATTTAGGTTTTTAATCTTACTCCTACATAGTTAGTCTAATTATTTCTTACTCTTCTATGTTCCTTTGTTTCCTTTCTCTTGGCATATGGGTTTATTATTTAATTAATTTCCCATATTTTTTGGGTAAATGTCCAAAATGAAAATAAATTCTTTTAACTATGTCTTTTAAAACCTACCAAAGCAATTTTAATAAAATAATAGATAATAACATTGTTAGAACAACTAGTAAACCTTTCTCTTGTTCTTCTGCCTTAGCTTTTGCCTTTTCAAGGGTCGCTATTCCTTACTCTTCTTCGCCCATCGCATTAAATTTCTCTCCATCGTGCCTTCTTTATCTATACCCTTCTCTTTCAAGTCCTATGCCACATAGTCTTTCCATCCTCTCTTCGATTTTCCTCTACCTCTTCATGAACTTCTAACAGTTCTATCCTGTATCCCCATGGACGTATAAACATAGATGGACACAGCAATAAGATACCTTTAACACACAATGTTTTGAAGCTTCCATAGAATGTGATGCTTCCGCAATGAGCATAAGCGTGCTTGAATTTTTACTCGCGGGTAATTATTCAGATTTTAAAAATTGGAAGTAGTAATAATGTATAAAAACACGTTCAAAGAATTTTAAAAAACGAGAGTTTAACTATTAACAAATCACGTCTTTATAGAAAAATTAAAATACAATTTAGTTGCTTTAAAATTAATACAATAAAATATAGTTGAATTCAAGTTAATTTTTAATAGGTATCAAAATAATGCTACAATAAAAAATCTTTATGTTTTCTCCTAAATTTGCTATCAAAATAGTTCGATCGTCAATATTATTTGGAAACCTACATAGAAAAATAAATGAGTTTTATTCATTTCACTAATTTATTTGCATCCATGAGAAATATTAAATTAAAAAGGTACTAAACAGATCTTTATTAATCAGATGATGTCTACTTACAATTTAAAAATGTCTACTAATTTCATGAACTTATATCTTATTCAATACATTAATGAACATGAATAAACCCAATGGTACGCCTATTAAAATGTAAACAAACACGCTTCCTCATTTCCTCATCTTAAATAATGTAAATTGTATGTACTTACAAATGAAATGAGAGATCGGGATGTAAATATTTCGTTTATTTTATTTCACTTTTCACAAATATCACTCAAAATACAGCCAAAATATCGAAAAACAACTTTTACTAAAAAGTAAACAAACATGGAACAGCATTTAAAGTTTGACGTAGATCCATAAGACAGAGAAATGTAAACAACCGTTGCCATTTATAAATAGTTTTCAGTGCTTCTACATATAAAATAATTGATTGACACACTTTATATTTTGATTACAATTAAATATATTAATCTAACCATTAAATTGTTATTTTGGTTTGATACCACCTGTAGAGTATAAAATATGGAGTAATATTTTCAGCGATTCGCGAATAAGAAATTTTAAAACAAAACGAGACAACAGTGGAAGGTGCTGAGAATGTGACCTATTCAAATAATTTTGACTTCACAATTTTATGTAAATAACTGAGTCCATCTGTGTTTGTACGTCCATGTGTATCCCACTTAGTTTTCATTTCTATGTCTGATGTGACACAACCAATTGCCGTCTTTGTTGGTACAACAAGTTCTTAGTATTTTACTTTTAAGATCTTTAGTTAACAATATAGGTACAGATATTATAGACTTCACTATAAATATGTTCCTTAAAAATTTTTTCCGAGAGATGGCATTGCTGTTAAGTTAGTTTAAGTACTTCTCATTCCATGAAAAATTAAAATTTGGTCTACTTGTTAAGCAAGTAAATTGACTAGCATTAAAAGTAAGTTATGCTTTAGTGTTTAGTTTTGTGTTAAAAAAGTACTTAACGTAAGTGGCCTCTCAAAAAACTTATTTGTCCGAGCACTACTGCCTCTTGAATAGAGAACATCCCATTTAATTTTGTCTAAAAATACACATAAAATGATAACTTTGACAAAACTTTCATGAAAACGCCAAACTGACAGATATTTAAGACCAAAATTTTAGTTTATTGGTAATTTATAAAAGAAATGTTCTTTTAAAATATTTGTTTCACTTCAGTCTTTCTTACCTGTACTTTTTGTTTTCAGTGAGGGTACGACAATGGGTGATCGGGTGGAACCACAAGTTCCCGGGCCCGATTTGGTTGGTGTAAATGTGGAAAGGCCGCCTTTAGTACATCAACAGTCCACAGTATGGAACAGAAGACAGAATGCAGTTAGTGTAAGGCACGCGTACAAACACTATGGCTCGAAGAAGAAACCCAATCATGTGTTGAGCGATTTAAACATGACCGTAGGCAAGGGAACAATGTAAGTATACTTTGGTTTTTTCAATTTATGCTTATTAATGTAGAGCTGCAATACTCCAATAATTTTAAGATATGCACTTTTTGATTTGTTGTCTGAAAATCAGACGTTTACTTTGCTAAAACCGAAACGTAATAAAAACTGACAAGACTGTCACGCTCTAAGTTTTGGCTTTGTATCAATAACAACGAGAGAGACATTCACCGAATATCGATTGTTATTAGAATAGGGATTAGACATCGGGTTAGAATGTATGGAGAAGCTATGAGCATATTAACGTGTGTATTAAAGACGGCGTCAGTAGGTGTGGCTAAAGATCATACCAATATGGCGGTGGGATCAGGGCCAGACTCAATAATATTAAAACTACTATACAAATATGACTAGTTATTCAGAAGATTTAATCATAATCTGAACAGGTGTAATACATTTTTAATAAGTTATGATTTATTTATCCTTCGGTAAACACTAAAAACGCGATATATTCCATAAAGATAAATTATAACAATCAAATAACAAGTTACTTACAAGAATAAGAGGCAGACAAACTGGAGTAATCTTAGTCGCACGAAGAAAAGAAGAAGAAGAACAAATAACAAGTTATATCTGAAAGAGATAATAATATAAATAATATTTTAAAGGGTAAAATGAATATACGGTAAAAATAAAAGAAATACGTTCGTTTTACAACTTATATATTTGATAACTACAAATTAACTGACACTTAAAAATTTAGTTCAATTAACAAAGTTAGAAAAAAAATACAAAATTTAATATCTGCCGAATATCACAATGGAAATACTGTGTAGAAATAAAAATAAGGATCAATCAACTACGTTTTTACCTTGCTTTAAGCTCTATGCTTCTTCAAGGGTGGGTTTAATTATTTGGATGCTAATGCTTGTTTGGTTTGAATGCCAGTTTTCGTTCATATGACTTCAGTTGGACTCCGAAGACTAAGGGCGCCGCCGCTAAAAAAGGTAAAGGATGAGGAGAAGGACGGGAAGGATACAGAGAACAAGAAAAAGGCAAGAGGCGGAAATCCTACCTTCCGGAAGAGTTAGCCAAGTATACCAAGCCTGTCATGAAGTACAAGTTCCGTGGAAAAAAACGATTCCTTTCAGATTATTGGCCATTTTTGTTTGTTGGAAAAACGCGTGGAGGATAGCTGTGGCTATATCCTCACCTAGGATCAGGTATCATTGTGCAATGAGATTGGGAAATCACAGAAAACCAATCTCCCCCTGTCCTTGTGATTATTTAAGCGACTCTTAAGGAGTGTAGACGGTGCTCACAGTGTAGGTGATTTAAATGTTTGTGATGTTTTTGTGTGTTTACTAATTAGGATTATGCGTTTATTAATTGTGGTATAGGATTAGGTGTTTATTAATTTGGATTGTGAGCGGAGTGGAGGTAAAGTGACGTGGATGGATGTTGTTGAGTGTGTGTGTGAATGTGTGTTGATGTGTGTGGTGTGATTTTTAGATGTGTAGGTGGGTGAAGGTTTGATTGATGAGGTTGTTTGTGCATGAAGTGGCTATAGCACATCCATACATTGCGTTTGAGATTTGGTTGAGGAATAAGGTTATTGCACTTCTCTTTTCGGGGCAGATGTTGACTAGGAGCATGGATGTGAAATGTATTAGGGATTTCATATCGGAGGATAGGTCATAGGAAGGAATTTGCTTCTCTGTGTATACTGGTTGAGTTTGGTTATAATTAGCGGGATGAGCGCTTCGGTGAGGGCATCGTGGTGAGAAAGCAGGGTGAGGACCGCTACAGTTAGAACATTTGGGAGCTGATATCGTGGAGCAGGCAGTAGACCAATGGCTGAGCCCGCAGAATGGGCAAATTATTGACTTTTCGGGACATTCTGTGTTAAAGTGCCGCTTTTGCATCATCTCGAGCAATACTTTGACCGAACGGGGACGAAGTTACCTGATCGTGGAATTTCACAGGCCAACCGTTCACCCTCGATCAAAATACCGCTCTAGAGCGCTTCAGCGAACTTTGTTTCAGAGTTGGTGAATACTCTGATGTAGGAGGTGGGTTGGTTGGTGGAGCGGGCGATTATTCGAACTACTTTGGTGAATGGAAAATTGTTTTCGGATAAGTTATCCTCGATTAATTTTTGAGAAAAGGTTTTTGCCACGCCGGCTATGACAAGGTGAAAGATTGACGAATTGTTTGGATTGGGTAGTGGATTTTGGGATTTAGGTAGACGAGCGACGATTCGGATGTGGTCATTTAGGATAATTTTTCGAAGATTTGAAGTGATGTGGGCGATATCTAAGAGTTTTGTAGTTCTGATTGAGGCCGCCTTTTGAGCTGGGAAGACTTTTATCGAGTCCAATTTAGGGATAAGGTTGTGTTCTAGGAGGAGGCGATAGAAAGGTCTCTGCTGGCAGATCTCAGTAGGGATGTCCTCTATTCTATAGCTTTTAAATTGAGGTGGTTGTTGAGGGGAGGAGGGAGGGATAGTTAATTGAGGGTTAGGTGAGGTGGTTTGTGAGTGAATAGGGTGTGGTGTTGGTGGTGTGTGTGGTACTGCTATTTCTGGTGTATGTGTAGGGGTTTGGATAGGGGGGTTGAGGGTAAGAGGGGTTTGTTGAGGATTGTCTGCTCTGGAGGTGGAGGGGTGGGGTGATATTGTTCTGGTTGTGTGTTTGTGTGTGTTTTCTTGGGAGTGGCTAGGATTTTGGGAGTGGTATTTTTGGTTTCTATGTATTCTGATGGTTTCTGTTTGGAAATGGATATATGGTCTTCGGTAAGGGGGTGGTAGAGGTGAAAGGGAGGGGATGTATCCAGGGATTGCAGACATAAAGGCGTTTTGGAGAATTTGACGGATGGTATCAGGGGTTGGTGATTTTGTTTGTTGGGTTTTTTTGATTTTGTGGACTATTGGAGTAAGGTGTTCACTGGCAGCCTTAGGATTTTGTTGACAGATCTCTGTAAGAGCCTGTTTCCACTCCTGTAGCGTCCGAGGTTCATGTCCGTCAATATTGACTGACACATGTGAGGTGTGCGAGGAAGAAGAAGAAGAGGATTGGGAGTCGGAAACAGATTGCCATTCGGCCTCTGCTTTCGCTGGTTGAGGAGGATCTGGCTGTTTTCGGGATTTGGATCTTGTTCGTAGCATGTTGTGAGTTTAGGTGTGTATTAGAAGGAAAAGGGAATTGGTAAATGTAGGATATGATATATTGGTATGTGTAGAAAATTGTGATGGTAGACAGATGGTTATTGATATGTGTAGAAAAGCAATTAGTTTATGTGGGAAATTGGATGGGATATGTTATATTAATAAGTGTAGGAAATTGTGTTGGATAGGAAGGGAATTAACAACTGTAGGAATTAGATTGGATGTGGTATATTAATATATGTAGGACATTGTGTTTAAGGGTGGGTGGAAGTGGTTATTGATATGTGTGGGAAAGGAATCAATAAATGTAGGAATTTGGATGGGATATGATTATTGATATATGTAGGAAAATGTGTTTGTGAACTTAATTGGTATGTGTGTGAAATGGGTGGATGAGTAGGATGTGTGTGTGTGAGAGTGTGTGTGAGTATGTGTGTGAGACTTTACCTGGGTGATCGAGCACTTTTTCGTTTCGGAAGAAATCTACGGCGAAGAGCTCCAGACAGGCACCAATGCCAACACTTCCTTGTCCCTTATTTTTCAATATCAGTACACAAGAATTTGTCAGCCGGTTGGCACCACGCCCGTTCGGTTTGATGCTAATTACCAGTTTTGGCGCCTTCCATGAAAAATTTTACGCCTTCACGTGGCAATTTCGCATATATTGTTCGTTTTCTGGTGGTCTTTTCGTCCAGAAAGCATTACTACCGGCACCGTGGATCCGTTCGCGGGTTTCGCGACCGTTTTTCACGCTGTTTGCGAAAGTTTGTGTGTGTGTGTGTGAAAATAATAATAATATAATAAGGATGTTGCAGTAATTAATAAGAATATATTACCTGTGTAATATAAGCTTTTGGAACAGGTCTTTCAAAGGAATAGAAGAAAGTGAAATTCTATCAATATAGTTTTCTAAAAAATGTTTTGAACATAAAACGCTATATTTGGTTTCTTTTGGAAACCTAAAAATACGATTATATGCATCACTAAGTATTATTAACAAATTTATATTTTAAATAAAAAATATGATTATTGAACTAAAAAATATTATAAACAGCTTACAAATTAGTATCTTTACTAGTTTTAGTTTATTAGTATGTTTATATTCTGTGTATTCATTACTTATATTTCATTGGAAGTGGATGTTTTAATTGCTATTTTGGAAACTTTTAATATTCAATAATGACTGAAAAATTAATCGTAAGTTATTGTAAGATTTTTTATGAATATTTTAATTTATTCTCTGAAGTACGGACCATTACTTTGTTTACATATTTGTATACTAACCTTTGGAACGTTATTTCTGAAGATTTTTATTAACATTGCTTCGGTTACTGCAACTACGTTGAGAACAAAAAACCGTTATTATGCACTATCACAATATAATATTACAGTTTTTATAAAAGCATTATAAAACTAAAAATATTCGAAAAGCAACAAACGTAAACAATCATACACGATCTGTCAAAACGATCATAACAATATGGCCGAAGTGAGGTCGTTTTTAGTCACGTGATGCCCTCTCCATAGATTCTAACTCAACAGGATTATATTTTAATTACTTATTTTTTTATTTTTTGTGAAAAATAATTATTTGCGGTATTTATTATATAAATAATTTTTGATTTTATTGATGTGAATTTTTATTCTGGACATCTTTTTAAATTATTGATAGATGACGCTATAATCGGAAAACTACAATTTATATTGATACCCTAGAAACATTATGGAAACGCTCTAATGTCTCGAAAAATACACTTACAAATAAAAAACCAAAACACTTGTAATTTTTTTTTTAATCTAAGGAATGATACCAAAGATGATCTCCACCACCACCCTTTAGAGGTGGTGATGAGGGCAATTTTAA